TCTTTAATTGTTATCAGTGTGGACACACTGAACGATTCTCCTGAAATTAAGATAAATATTCCTTTTCTCGACTGTACCCCACAGAAATGAAACACACTATATCCGTACAGATCTGTCCTCAAACTGTCCCCGTGGCGGTGTGTGAGAAGAACAGACACTCATACAAGATCGCATTGTTAACTGTGTTACATGTAGACCCATTGCTAAGTAACAGCTGCGTAAACAGGCGACAGCACAACAGACATTGCTAGGGAACATCTCTGTTACATAAGAACTATAACCGCCCACAAGCCTAAATGGTATTTTATTGAGAGTTATTCTCAATATTTTATAATAATTACGCAGAGTGTGTACGCAGAGTGTGACATAGCCCACCTCTTGCACACACGAAGCTGCCTGTTTCACAGATGGACCACACACACAAAAACTCCAGATGGCCCCCTGGTGATTTAGTTAAGCAGTTCATGGAATTTTGGTTCCAGAGTCGCTCGGCGACTCACTTTGGAAATTTGACTCTTGACAGTTTCTGCTAGTCTTAAGTCACACGAAGGCGTGCCAGGAGGGGACGCTATGGCCAGTATACTTCATTACCTTTCAAAAGTTACGTTAGGTCATTAAAGAAAAAAATTGCCTCTAGAGTAAAAATGACTGGAAGTAGCGGATTCAGAGTCAACTCCCTTACTTCAAATCTGACCAATCCTCAAAAGTCGAGGGTGTGACTTGGGAACTTCGCGGAAACTGGAAAGGCTCACATCTCTTCAGTCAGTCTTCAAAGAGTCTTCAGTCAGTCATCAAAAGAGTCTTCAAAAACTCATCAAACAGGCATCAAATAGTCTTCAAATACTCTTCAAACACTCTTCAAAAAAAATGGTGGTCCAGCTAGGAACAGTTGTTAGTGTTTGGTAGTTCACCTTTGAAAGAAGTGCCAGCACCTGGTGAATTGTGTATGTGAACTGTGTTTTGTTTTACACTTTCTTCACAAAGAATAAATTATACTCACATGCAAAGTGCAAGTGTATCATTAGACGCTTCTGCCTCCCTGTCTCAGCGAGGCCCGTAAAAAGATCCTGAGACAGTCTCATCTCTACCTTCTGAGGTAAAGAAAATTCACCTGTGTTCCTTTGGCAAAGAGCATCAGCAACAGCCGCTGCAGGCGGAAGCCAGGTGAAGGAACAGGAAGGTAAAGGGGGACGGCGACAACAAGAAGGTGACACCCAACGTAAAGGGCACTATACAGAGAGAGCGGTCATAGAACTACGACCTCGAAGGTTCAGTTTAGAAAATAAATGGTCGTGATTCTCAAGGGGCTTGGCGCCAAGATGAATTGATTGGCGGTAAACATCAAGTCGTGGAGTGACTTTGACCTTGACTTTGACTCGTATCTGAGACAGGTTATGAGTCCCGCGGGACTCGGGCCCTAGAATGACTGCGCTGGCGAGGACCAGCAGCAATTGTAAACGACAGGCTCGTCCTTTCGTCAGAGAGGTCGCTCCACATCAACAAACCCGCCACTATCACTAACAAAAAGTTGTTCCTGGGCCCCAGATGGGGCTTGATACCAAGACAGACTGGCGAACTGACTTGAGGAGGTTAATCAGTAGTGTTGGATATTTATTTGCAGCCACTTTTATCAGTGTATGCATTTCAGAGAGATTCTGAGAGTGCACGTTTTCAAAACAAAGTCAAAGAAAGAACCTCACGTCAACACGCGAGCTTTGCATAACACGCGAATTTCGCCCGCAGTTCTCATTCTGGACTTGTCACTATGTGTCTAGCTGTGTACGACTGACTGCAGGCAAGCTTCATATTCTTCTTATGTGGAAGTGAAAGAAGGTTTTATTCAGGCTGTCCAAGCCCAGGTGAACCTAGAGTTTCACTAGGCCTCCAAATCCTTGTTTCCCGAAATACCTGCCACATCTTCTATCTGTACTTGTTATGTCCACTCTGTTTCCTGTAGGACTTGATGTTCTCACACCGGGGGTTATTCACAGTGCTATCTCCTGGGATGTATCCCTGTAGTCCGTGGAAAGTCAACCGACCTGCTTTCATGCTGGTTTCTCGGCTTATTCTCCTACCCTGAAGAAGGGAATATATTCGTTCGAAACGTCGGTTAATTTTCAACGTGCCACACGGCGTTATATCCCACAAGATAAAATCTTCACGTTTCTTCTTTACGGTTGTTAATTCGGAACGCAATGGAAGGGTTTGGGGCCATGTCCATCTGTCTCTCTGTCTCTCTCTCTCTGGCTTTGTTAGGAACACACCGACAATAACATGTACGAAGCTAATGGAAGACATGAAAAATGCATATAATTTTCGACAGACCTCTATAACAGCGTGTGGTTCCGTAACCTCACGGGGTCCCGTGCTTCCAGCCTTGCCCCTGTGCATTGTTATCGGTGGACGTCACGTGTACAGGCCCGTATTTTCAATCGACTCAGAGCTAACTCCTATATATTATTAATATATTTCTCATTTATATTGGATGCACATTACAGTATTAAGTTTTATATTTTCCGAGTGTCCTTCTCAATCTATTCCCTTCATCATCATCAGTAATCTGTCAGACGACAGGTCCACAGTCTCTTCCAAAACAATTCCTCCACTTAATGCGGCTTACTTAGAAAAAAAATGAAATGGCTTAAAAGTTTACCTTGCTGTGTATCCCGCCCCTTCCATCATTGCTAGGCAACGGCTCGGTAAACATGTTCTCGCGGCAACGAATGCACAAGCAGCAATAAAAGAACTGTCGGACGCAGTGTTTTCTGTGAGGTCCGTGTCGTATCAAATATCCAGTATGGAGTAAGAGGAAAGTAGGCCGCTAGTTCATGTCAATGAACAGCTATGCGACTCCAAGATTCGTGAAATGGTAAAATATGATAAATAGTCCCTCGGGACATGGAATCAAAAACCAATGTGCTGGCGAGGACCACCGTCAATTTACCCGAAATCTGAAATTAGTTATTTTTAGACCTTGCTTTTTAACAGACTCACATTTAAATGTTTCATGTGGTACGAAGAAGACGTTTCGGAACCATTACTCTAAACTACAAATTTCTTCTACAAGGGAACCCTACATAACAGATGAGATTTTTGTCTGTCTCCGTTGGATTAGATGTTGTCACAGCAGTGACTGTGAGAAGTACCGTCTTCTGTGATGTGACGCCGTGTAGTCTGATAAATTTCAGTGATGTTTTGGGGGAACTTACCGCCCCCCATCCTCAGGGTCTATCGCTCTGCCTTCCACCTGCTTCTTGCTTTACTCCCCAAACCTGAAGATGGTTACAGAACATTCATCCGACATCTGCTTTTACCGGTTCTCACGGTCTCTTCGCTTTTCAGATTTCTTATATTTTTTCTTCTACCCTGAAGACGGAGGCGATACGTTCCTCCGAAACGTCGGTTAACACCACATATACACGGTGCCAAATCCCAGAAGACTGCTTTCTTCATGTCAGTGAATGTTTACCGAACAACGCGGCGTTATATACCACGTGACACTCTTCCCCGCCCTTTGCCTTTATCAAGAGTTGCTCCTCTCAGCTGGCAACAGTCTGTGTGTTACTAATAACATGAGATGTATTTTCCAATGATCCGTCATATTACTCGTGCCGATACCCAGACTCAAAACTATGGAGACGGATATTGCCTATTGATTTTCATTTCATCGTACAGAAGAGGTAGTTTCCACTTTCCGAAATATCTGTTCAGGATCCTGGCGCTACAGAGCACAGACATACACCGCACTCTCAACCCAGTGGGCCAGGCGGAACGTCCCGGGTTAATATAGTCCTCATTTTTCAATGACGCCCACGCAATCCGCCCCTTCTTATATCGCCTCCCCTTTATGTCTATCTCTATTTAATCTTCGTGCTCAGATGCTGAAAACCAAATTTCCATTTATGTTTATTTATGACGTCAGTGTTGAAACTTACTCCGAAGTTTCATGCGATTATTACAAAGATACGCCTGACCCATGCGTTCTCTAAACTGAGCATGCCCCTTTAGGAGACTGCAGTCTAGTGTCCGAGTCTTACGTTACGACCGACGGTCAGTTGGCCAGTCTGTCTTGGAATAAGGCACCCATCTGGGGCTTATCATCAGATTTTTATTACTGTCACGCAGTTGCGGGTGTGTTCATGTGGTGCGCTCTCTCTGACAAGAAGACGGATCAGTCGTTTACAATTATTGCTGGCCCTCGTCAGCTCAGTCATTCTCGGGTCCGAGTCCCTTGAAACTCGTGACCATATTTTAGTGTTTCATATTCGAGACTTTCCTTTTGGTCGCTTCCTACGACTCGCAGGATCACGGTGGAGGTATTCGATCCCACCTCCAAACGGGACTACAGATTAGACTTCTTCTAAATAGTATATAAGAATTCAGTTCGTACCTCACAGGAAACATATCACGTCTCCTCTACAAGGCCCAAACAGTTAATGCGACAAAAAGGGAACCCAATGTCTGCTGGTATTACGGGGCCACCATGTTCCTGAGGGAATAAATACGGGGACCTGGCCCTCCAGATTGGGGGATTCTCGAATCTGAGACAGTAAAATGTGGTCGTGAGTCCCGTGGGAGTCGAACTTGAGAATGACTGCGCTGGCGAGGACCCACAGCAATTGTAAACGACAGACCCATACATAAGGACTATAACCGCAAGTACTCGGTTTGAAAATAAAATTACTGATCGTGAGTATCAAGGTACTTGTGAACAAGACGAACCAATTGGCGGCAAACCGTCAGTCGTAAAGTGACTCTGACACCGACTAAGTCTTTAAAGAATTAACAATATTAACAGTTGGCCTACTCAACCGAGACTCTTTGTGTTAAGTGTGAGGTAGGAAGTGAATTTACAAATATTATGTCATACTAACTTTAGTTTATATATGGTTAAATTAGTACTCAAATCCTGATTGCACGTACGTAAATAATTACACTGTGTTAAACACAGACATGTAAACATTTCTGATTTATGAAATATGTTTCTTGCTATGTTCCAGGTATGAGAATATTAGTGATGCTACTACTAGACACACTTCCTATGTTAGGAAACGTACTGCTTCTTTGTTTTTTCGTGTTCTTCATTTTCGGCATTGTTGGAGTTCAACTCTGGGAAGGAATACTCAGACAGCGCTGTTATCTCAAACAACTGCCCAATATCAGCTATCCCAGGTGAGTCTTACATCTCACAATGTGATGTTTTGTCTTTGTGTTGTGTGGTTGTGTCATTTGATCAGCTCGTATCACAGAGTTTCAATCCATTTGGAAGAAGAGTCCCTCAGCTGAGGCGTGTCCTGCACCATAAGTGACTGGTTCGTACACATTCAACAGTAACAATCTGTGAGATGTTGACCATGAAGACGTTTCAACAATCAAATTGTTGCTTCTCTCCTATTTGTTTTATTTATATATAATTTCTCTGTGTTGCATGATGTTCATTTTCATACAGTTTTTCTCGTGTTACACTCCAGATCATTATGTGGCCGAGAGTGAATGGTTGAACTTTACATTTCATAACTGCATGGCCTTTCCGTTTTTGTTCAGAAATTTCGCCAATGTAATATACTGAGCTTTATATACTTATATGTTGTATTATGTTCCTTGTAACATAAATTTATTTCCTTGTTCAGATATTTCGAATGCTTCGCATATTTTCAAGTCACCTCTGTTTGCATAATTTTATTTTTATTGGTAGGCAAAATACATTTTTAACTTTAGGAACCACATTATAACACTATGTAATATATATAACCCAACTGCATTACACTTAACAAAACACATATATAATTTATGTTCTGCATTGTTGTCAGATTGCATGCTATTGATTTGGCATATGTATTATACTGCGAATTGTCATCATATTTCTTCGCTAATGATCAGATCAAGTCTTTAAATCATTGTTACGTATTTCAATACACGTGTCCTCCCTTCTAGCGGCAAAGGACGAAACCAGTGCTGAACCTAACGAACTAACACTTTAACAACACATTTTCTAAGTCTTTGACACTCCTTCACATGATTTCCTTGTGGTACACGAGACATATTTATCGGACATCTGATATTGTTCTCTTTGCTGTGGGAGAAAAATAAATAAGCCAGGAGATGTGGTACCTCAGTGAACAGTATCAAATTCACAGGTAGGATATCTTTTGAATTTCTCAATAATCATGATAGATGGTGTGTCTAGATTAGTGACCGTTGTGTGTCTTTGTGTTCAAGTTAGTAACAGTAAACCAGCCCGGTTGGAGTTCATTTTTATGATGAAATGCATTTTGACATGTTTAGTTTCTTGGATTCTCCAAGAAATGTTACAGGAAAGAAAAATAATGAAACAAAACATTTTATTCTGTTTTGTTATTCGACAATTTTAGTGTAAATTTCTTATAATAATTATCCAGATTTCGAAATAATTCTGGATCATACGTTCGTAGTGCCTTAGCGGTAACCCGAATGACATCACAAATATGTATGGGAAGTGCTTTAAATTAAATACGCTTGATAAAGATGAAATCATGCATATTTCAACAAAATTAAATGACGAAGACCCGCGAGTGTCTCTTTGGAAGATTATTAACAAAACTGCACACTGAAGTGTTTCATGCCTTGTACTCTTCTCCAGATATTACCAGAAAGGACGGATAAGATGGGTGCCTTCGTCATGCGTGGAACAGACGAGAAATTAATAAATATAACTGGTTGGAAATCGTACAACTTGAAATACCTACGCGTAGATTGAAGGATAATATTGTGGCATGTAGATACATTGCTAGACAACGGCCGCAAAATAAACAACTATACAACAGGCGTTGCTAGGCAACGGCCCGTGAACTGCAACAAAGTAACGATGTTTTCTATGCGATTCGTGCCTAGATGTTATAAGTATGACAGTTAGTAAGGGAGAAGCGGCCTCCGTAGTCTAGGGGTAACGTTCCCACCTCATGACTCAAGGTACGCGGGTTCAAACCCGGCGGAGGTCGTGGAAATTTTAAGGGCGAAAAAATTCAGGGAACAAGTCGTCCGGGAGGGACTTTAAGCTGTGAGTCCTACGGCACGTAAAAGATCCTAATGTCTCTAGGAGACCTCTGAGCAAAATTAGGTAAAAAGTTTCCCGCCCAAGTAGTTTCCAATGCCTCCGATAGATGGGGAAGCATCGGGTACTACAGCCAGCCTCGCTGGCTGAACGGGGCTGATAGCGAGCACCAGTACCGGCAGGGTATGGAGACTGGTAGAATATCAAAGGGGAGACGTACAATAGACTATTAGTCGCGGTGCATGGGGAAACACACCCCCTCCAATAATAATAATAATAATAATAATAATAATAATAGTAAGAGAGAGCTGAGTTGAGGTAAGTTGACTTGGTTGGCGAGTGACTGAGTTAGTGAATTCGTTAGAAAACTGCTGAGGTTCAGTCGTTGTTAGCTGTTACTGTGAGAAGTTGGTAGCTGTGACACGGGGAATAGTTCGAGAAGCGAAACGTCTGCTTTTGGAAGCCGCTACCGAGCAACGACTAGTAAAATAGTTACAGTGGACACTAGTGTGTGTGTAACAGTAAACTGTAACGTGTAGTCACGGGTTGTATCAAAGAGTCCTATAAATTAGATCATGAACCCAAACCCGCATATAGTCACACTCCATAAAATAGTGACAATATTAAAATGGATTTTAGATAGATATGGTGGGGTGGGGTGGGCTTAATTTGTCTGGGTCAGTATCGGGACCAGTGATACGCTTTTGTGAACACGACAGTCAAGGGCTGTGCTCAGTTAGGCTAATTTTAATTGGTTAGAAGAAAAGGGAACAGTACAACATCTGCTGACACCTTCGTAACTAAGCTTACGTAAAACTTTGAATTCTGTGTACAGTGTTTCGTACATGAGAGTAATTTAAGGGACAGATATGTGATGAATTAATTGTTTAGATGTAAATATTAATATTTTTTACTAGCAGAAATATTACTTCAGTCAGTAAAAAAATTATAAAATACAAACACGCATCAATGGTTAATACTTTTATCATTTTAGCGATGAAAAGTCGCCAAAATGCGTCTATTGCCTTGACCATACTAGTCTGCCTGTCATTACTTTAGTTTGTAAAACCCGAGAACCGCTGAACAGATGTTCGTGATATTTAATATTGGTGAATTATATTAAACTATTCAGACACACTCTGATTTTCATTACGATCGGTTGACAATAGCTTACACCATGTCTTGCTGTCTGTATTTCGGTTATACCTCGTTAAATACAAGTATTTGTCAGAGCGAAAAAAAATATGTCGAACAAAAGTCGTAAAGAAAGGACGAAACGCATATGTCCAGTATATTTCCCCTAACCCTAAATCTTGTGGTTTACGAGCTAATTAAACTAAAGACAGCGAACGCGCCAGAACTGAGAAGTTATGCGTGTATTACCTAACTTGTTTTCTGTATCTTAGCACCAATAGGCCGTCGTGCACGACATCACTGTTTAAGCTGACGTCACATCACGCTGGTTTCGTTCTGTTGCAGGGACCTTACAGAAGAGTTCACGATTCGGGTGAGAGTGACCCTGTAAGCAGACACTAGTTACAAAACAAAATTACTCTGTCTTCTGTCTCTGTTCTTCAATAGATACATTACCAGTATTGTGCTAGAGGATGATTGTATCATAACTCCTTTAACTCTTACAGTGACTGCTCACTCATGGATTGATTGACTGACTTGATTGGTTATGTTGCTCGGATGTTCTGTAAATTCGTTTCATAGTTTCATTTGTTTAATGGCCTACAGAAACAAGCAACATCTAGCAGATGGAATGTTCTGTAAATGGCATTTGTCCCTACTGTGTTCGTGCCTTCATGAATCCTGCTGGTAAAACGAAGGAAAAGTGGTCAAGGTGTTTTGAATGAAATAAAACATAACCTAATTGTTTATAGTACATTGGTTACAGTGTGTGCCATATGAATTAACGTTAAGAACTCTCAATTCTGCCCAGACAGTGTGTTTGTGAGTTCCGTGTGGTTCTCACAATAAACAGCGACTGTTTCCCTAAACAGCATTAACCGGTTGGGCTTTGTAGCGGAGACGTAATGTTTCCTGCGAGGTACGAACTGAATTATGTATATTAATATTCATATATCGCTCGGTCTAAGTGGAACTGCTATGTATTTTCTGCGCTTATTTAATTAATTTTTGTTACATATATAATTTATTGTTACCAACATTTGGTCATTCACTTTTCTGCTATTTAGTTTACGCGTTGAAACTTTGAGTCTTCCTTCAGCAGTGTTTCCTTATATAATAGTGTTTTTGCATGTCTGTTTCTATTATTCAAATTTTCATATCTGTAACAAATTCCGCCATTCTTCCTTAAATAAATAAATAAATAAATAAATATTCTAAATGGTTCCTAGTTCCTGTTTGGTTGCTTTCCTTATCCGTCAAAGTATATACACATATTTGTTGGACTTTTAAAGAAGAATCACTCAGATTAATAAATTAAAGATTTTTATATAACGTATTTTTATTTTCTCTGATGGAGTGAGACTGAGTCCACTTGGTACTACGGCCACTGTTGGCCTATTGTACCAGCTCCAGAAGATGGCATTCAAAGCCTCTACTGCAGTACTTTCACATCGGCATAACATCCGTGACTGCTGTGCATATTAGCAAGAGTACGAGCACATTTTATATCTTTGCATGTTCACAATTGGGTCTGCAATAGGTAAATGGAAAGAGATGCTTGCAACTCTTCGGAGCGCCTGTTAAGTTCTCTTAGCCCAACCGTCCGCACGAATATAGACTTGAGAGACCATGAATGGATTCTTATTAAATTTGGTATTGGAGCATTTTACGAAAAATTTCCGGGTTACTTTGATTTTTATGTAGATCGTTGAAGTTTAGCGAGCGCTTCTCTGGAGGGCCGTAACCAGCCAAATATTGTTCGGGAAGTTTGTGTCCGGTACATTGCACCCACAAGTCCTGCAGTTTCGAGTTAATTAAACAAAAGAGATGTTAATGAGTACATTTCTGAATCCATTCAACAAGGAGACATGGCTTTCTGAACACAATGGCGATTGAGAGAGAGAAACGAAAGCAAGTACTTACTCCGAAGAAAGTCGTCTTCTGGGATCTGGTGCCGTGTATTCTTGGTTTTAACCGACGTTTCAGAGGAACGTATCGCCTCCATCTT